TCTCATGGGTGACACAGACAGTGAACCTGCCTTTTAGTGAGGTCATGCAGGCTCTGTCAGATAATATAAATGCCCAGCCCCAGTGCTAGGCCCCGTCCAATCTCTGAACAACTGTCCTCAAAGATCAAATTCTTCCATTCCCCTCCAATTTCTGGGAGAATTTTTAAAAGGCAAAAGATCTTCACCTTCAATCTCTTCCTCAGACACAGTATGCACTTTATTTTTTATTGACTAAGCTGCTAAATAAAATGAAAGAAATGTTTGTCTGCTGGTGAGAGACACTGTAGACATCTAAAGATCATAATAATCAGAGTTTACAAATGTTCTCACTAAAGTCGAGAAAAACGTGGACCATCAATACAAGATCAGAAGCTTCGGCTGTGCTTGGAACCGTGGAACCCTGCTCCCTGCCAACAGCGATTTTTCTTACCCAAGTCCCACACCCGACATTTGAGAGAGGCAGTGAAACAAAGCAATTTGTCCTGTGTCATAAAGCAAGCCGCAGCAGAGCCAGGATAAGAACTCAGGTCTCCTTTCTCCTAATTCATTATTGCTTTCCCAGATATCATGCTGCCCCACATGCCGATAACGTTCATCATTTCCACTAGGACGGGCGGCTGGTGAAGGGGGGAGGGGGCCTGTGAGTCCTGCTCGCTGCTGCGTCCCTGTCCCAGGGCCAGCATCAGCAACCAATATGGAGCAGACGCTCAAGATCTCTCCTGAGTGGATGCGCTTCACCCTCTTCTAACCCAAATTGGCCTCGGGTCAGTTCTCCTCTCCAATCCCAAGAGAGCCACACACCACCAATCCCCTCGAAGCAGCAGTGCTTCCTGTAAAAAGTACTGGGGTGATGGACGGGCAGAGCACAGAGGACCAGGAGGGCAGCGAAACTGCTCTGTGTGATACGACAGTGGTGGATACACACCATCACACTTTTGTCAAAATGCGGAAAATGTACAACAAGAGCAACCGGTGGCATAAATTTTCTGATAATGATGTGTCAGTGTAGGTTCAGCTGCTGTAACAAACAGACCACTCCGGTCGGGGATGTTGAAAGTGGGAGAGGCTGGGCTGGGCTGGGCTGGGGAACAGTGGGGTCTATGGGAACTCTCTGTACTTACTGTTCAATTTTTTAAAATTTTATGTATTATTGCATTATGTTTAATTTTTTTTTAATTTTGAGGGGAGGAGATAATTAGTTTTTTTTATTTTTAGAGGAGGTACTGCAGATTGAACCCAGGACCTGGTGCACGCTAAGCATGTGCTCTACCACTTAAGCTATACCCTCCCCCTTACTCACTACTCAACTTTGCTATAAATCTAAAATTACCCTAAAAAATTATTAATTAAAAAGAAGCACTGAGGGCCCCTCCAGAAGGTGGCTGGAGGGTCCTGGGCGCCACGAGGATGAACGGTGCAGAAGGATGGCTTGTCTAGGCCAGCAGGTGACAGCTGGGGTGTCCTTCCCTACTCCACAGCAAGCAGCTCTAACAGAGCCGAGAGCCCCGTGCTTGGAAAATAAAACTCTATATTAGGCATCAAACATGCCTTTATAGTAACAGCATGAAATGAGGTCAAGAGTAAGTCTATGCTGGTGCTCTGACTATACAAACAGCAACACATGACTGACTCTCCCTAAGTGCCTATGACGTTCCGCAGCCGTTCCGAGCCCCGGCTTTCTCAGGTTCAATTCCTTGGCACACCACGTGAAACGCTATACAAATCACCCCTGATATTTATAAAAGTCAAACGCTATTATGTTTTTAATGGGAAGGTCACGCCAAACTGAGCGAAGTCCACGTGTCCATCTGATGACTCCCCTGCCCTGTCCTCCCCGACGCCCTCCAGCGGGTGCAGGGGGTGAGGCTCACTCTGCCTTTTTTCCATGTCAAGTTTTGGGTAGATGAAGTCGTTTCTCATTTTCTGGCCCTTCTCCCTTCCCACGCCCGTGTCATCCGGGGCTGGGCACCCAGAGGCTGCCCAGGGGAGAAGGAGCCACAACAGTTACTGGTCTTCCTACTGCTGGAGGGCAGGGGTCAGCCACCCTGAGGCGGCTCCTCTGTGCCCAGCGCTGCCCCTTGTGACAGGAGCGGTGCAAGACTGGCAGCCACCCGGAGGGAAGGAATGTCGCCGCTCACTCTTTTAAATCTCTGCCCCACCCACCGTGCCTGCCACCTCTCCAGTGTTCACCCACCATGGAAAGTCCTCCAAACAAGGACTTCATTTTCTCCTCTGAAGTTCAGAGCGAGAGACTATCCCTGAAGCTCTTTCCAAGCATCGTTCATATGTCAGGAGCGAGACGGGCCAGTGTAAGCAGGGAGTCAACGACGCCAAGGTGGGGGTACAGCTCTGCACGTTCAAACTGGGTGGTTACCGAGCTGCGGAGTGTGTGTGTGTTCTCAGTGCCTCCTCCTTCCAAAGTTAAGGCAAGGTGCCTCCTATGGTGAGGGCCCTGGGGCAGGGCACCCCCAGAACCTGCTCCCTTCTCCCAGCGGAGGGCAGGTCCCACAACACGGCTGCCCGCGGTGGCCAGCTGTGTTAACTGTTCCTGGACCGCAGGACCCTCCCGCAGACAACACCGAGTGAATGAGAACCAGCATCTCAACACTTGCATTTGCTTGAGTGGCTTCCTCTGTGACGCAGGAATGTGAAAACAAGCCACTTTTTCTAGGCCAGTGAAAGAAAGTCCTTATTTTGCAGTCAGAGAGGAGAGAGCTTTGGCCTGGAAGTAAGAACTCGTGGGTCCTAATTCTAGTTTGGCTTGTTTGTTCTTAACTGACCCCCTTTTTCAAATATGGGCTTCTGAGCCCTGGTTTTGTAGGCTGTGGAATGGGCAGAGTCGAGCCCCTGGTCTGCACACCAGGTACGATGCCCGGGCCCACACGGGGAGGGAAGGAGGCGGCATTAAAACATGGGCTTTGTGGTGCAGGTCATCCTTAACCTTTCCAAGTCTCAGTTTTCTCTAGTAAAGAGTAAGGAAGAAAAATGTCTATGTTTTAGGACTGTAATGAGGACTTAATAAAATTTTATTTGCAAAGTATCCAATACAACCCTCTGGCCTTCGGGAAAGAGGGACCAAGTTTTGTTCACCCTTAGGCACTGGGGCCACAAAGCCCCCTGGACACAGCAGGGACTTTAAAACGTAGGGAATGAATGAAGGAAGGAAGGATGGGAGGAACCAGCTGCGAAGGTCACTCTGATCTGCAGGAAATCCAAGTTACTCATCCGGCCGACCTGGTGGGGCAGGGTGGGGGCTGGAGGAGAGAGAGGCAAGTCTGCAGGTCCAGTTCAGTCCAGTGTCCCGGGCCTCTAAGGTTTCCCTCAGGCTTCCCAGCCCCAGAACTCCTAAATCTCGGAGTGACTTTAGCCATCTTGTCTGCCTCGTTTCATCAGCAGGGCACTAGGGGAGCCGAAGGAGGGATGACCTGGAAGGGCTTTATTTACATTTCCAGAATACTCAGGTTCCTGATGGTGACAGACACGGGCCAGGACACCAGCAGGGGACTCAGGACTCCTGCACCTTCAAGGGCACCGACTCCGGAGGCCTCCTTTAACGTGTGCCGGGGTGCCTGCTTCATGCTGACCCCAGCTCTGTGGCTTGTCTGGCCTAGCCGTCTACATCATCAGTTTAGATGTAGGTAGAGGGTGGTTCCCAGGGGCAGCTCTGGGCATCCTAGGCCTTAACTAAGAGCTACCCAATCTGCTCTGTGAGCCTGTTCAGCGCGAGGAACTTCATTGTGCCCTCGCCTCTCCCAACTGCACTTGGAGGATTCCAGTGGCTGCGAGCTCTGTAGGCACACCGGAAATGTCCTCTCGGCCAGACGTCAAGTCAGCGGTCCTCAAAGACCCCATCCCCACCTTGGCAAAGCAGCTGGAAGCCATTCCCGTTCCTCCACGACCATTACTATCCACCTGGCCCTCCCCCTCTCACCTTCCCAGCCGGGAGAATGGGTCCCCTCCGAGGCCACTGCCTGGTGGATACCACGGTAATGCAATGTCAGTAACCACCCTCACCATTCCTGCGACTTCACTCTATGCAAGGCCTATGCTGAGCGCTTTGCACAGAACTAAACCCTCATAACATCTCTCATACGATAGCAGCAGAGCCGTCCTGTTCCCAAGAAGGAAATGGAGGCTTAGGGAAGTTAAGCGAACCTGCCCAAGGTCATAAAACTTGGAAGAGAGATGGGACTAGGATTTGAATCTAGACAGTCTGACACCAGGTCCCACGTTGTGCATGTCACTCTGTTCTGAACACCCAAAGTGTCACACTGAGACTTCAGGATCCAAGGGTCCCTCTTCCCTGATGCCTGCAGGACAAATCTGAGCCACCCCATCAGGGCCCCAAGTTGCCTAGTGAATAAAGCCCTCAGGCTTGGAGACATCCTCGTCCCCACCCCCATGCCTTCGGGTGGGTCCATCCTCCCCAAGGAGCCATGTGCATATCCGCCTTTTCCGCTGTGGGGGTTTCTCACTGTCTCTCTGGCCTGGCCCCCAAACCCTAGCACTGGACCCATCTCCCGCATGCTCAGATCACACAGAAGCAGATGCTCTGAGTTCCCTACAAGTTGATTAAAAGAGTTCAAGGTTCCTACAGCTCAACCCCAAGGCCTCCCCACGGAGCTGCCCTCCCCGACAGAGCTTGCTGAAGACCGTCCCAACCCCCTCGCCTTCAGCTCGGCAGCCAAGGTATCTCGCCTACCCTCTAATTAACGCCACCCGATCCCGTCTGTTGCCCGAGGCGTGTTCAAGTCCCAGACGGGGATGTACAGTGGCTTGGACAACATTATGATTTGTAAAACCCACTTCTAATTAGTTTGACTTTGAATGAGGAGGGTAATTATTTTTAAATTTATTAACTGCTGCCTGGCCGGAGAAGTTTCCAGATCAAATGACACAGAGAAGCTATTTCTGTTCAGTGATGCAGCAATTTATATTACTGATGGGTCATTAAAACCTCTGGCACAAAACCACTTGTGTTTCCTGAGCCAAGATAGTGTCCGTGTGTCAAATTTCAAACCCTGAGTATAAATTAAGCCATTAATGGTATTTATCAGTTTATCTGGACTTAAGGAACTACTTACTAATTTAAGACATTCCTAATATAGAACCCAAGCGGTGAGCGGGGTGCGTGTGTGAGTGTGTGCATGCGTGTGTGCGTGTTTTCTCACTTTTTATTTCACTGAACAGTGTAAAAAAATTCTGATGTGTAAATGAAGAACAAGCATCTTGGGGAGCTGTGGAGCTGTTAATTCCTCACTGCTCTGCAACCCAAACATTTTGGAAGCAGCAGGGTTTTTGCAATATGTATTTGTCATAATATAAAAGGTGTAAAGTGATCTCTGTTTATCTCCTCAAAGTCTTCGCTGTAGCAAAACATGAAAACTGAAGTGTGACAACAAAGCCTGAGCCCAGTCCAACCAACAGTGTGTCCCTCCGGAGCACCAGCTGGAGCCCACCGAGGCCCTGGAGGGAGGAGGCAAGGAGGGGGTCACACTCCCAGGATGGAAGTCCAGGGTAAGTGGGGTCGAAGGAGTGAGACGTGAAGATGATGTTCGTTTGGTGGAATGGACTTGAAAATACTTCTACCAAATCCCTTTTCCAGTGGCAAGAATACCCATGAGGCACGCTGATCACCTGTCGGAGGCAACGCCCCACGTTAGTTCTGTTAATTCTCCACGTAGCGGGTGGCCCTGGGCATGAAACTCGCAGACCCGATCTGTTTCAGGAAATGGTATCCTCTCTCACGAGGGGGACATGAGGATCAGGGTGGTAAGGATTCTTAGTTAAGATGGGTCACAGGGGTCCAGAAGAGCCCTGGCTGGGACAGGGCCACGAGCTACATGATCCTTGACCGCTCTCCCAAAACCGTTCAGCCACACAACCACGGACAGCAGTACGGCAACGGGCAGGTTGCCGGGTGCTGGTGGGAAGAGCACTGACACTGGGGCTGGGTCAACTTCCAGCTCTTCACTTCCTAGTGGGGGGCCCCAAGGCCTCCACAGTCTCATCTGTTAAATGGGTATGACAGAGGACCATGTCTGACAAACTCAGGTATCGGAGATACAAGCTGGCGTTAACCATGACTTAACTCTCCCAGGATCTCGATTCCTTTTCCTTTTCAGAGCTCTCCCTGCTCTCCAGTTGGCTCTCCAGTGATAACTGGTACTCCACTGGCTGTTCCCGGTCCAAAAACTTTAGCATCACTTTCAGCATCCCCTATGACATGGTCTCTCTCTTCCTCACAGGCCGCCTTCCTTACAACACAGATGGCATGGCAACTCGATTTCATGTTGATTATTAAAGGCGTGGGAGGATCCATCTGGGTTCTGCAGGAAGCAGTGCTGTCGATGGTAAGCTCTGCCACGTGTCAGAAGAGCCATCTCGTCGCCAGCCCTATGCTGCGGTTAAGGCTGCTACCGCGTCTCTCCCCAGCCGAGCGCTGTTTGCCCCACGCGAACAAGTGGGCAAACACGCCTCACGGCTGAGGGCGTTGGTCCAGGGAGAGCTCACAGCCAGGTGGGGAGGGAGCCCTTCTCAAAGTGCCCACCTTGGTCTCTTATCCATCATTTGGATTCAATTTGGAGATAAAGCAAACATCTGAGTGGGCTGGTCCCCACCTGCTAGAGGAAGGGTGGGCATTATACCCCTTTGCAGGGGGGGACATTTGAAGGGCAGAAAGCATGAGAAACAAGGCTGCTAACAGTGAAGTTCAACTCCCCTCCTCAGCTTCTGACTCAAACTCCAGGTTCTTCCCAAAGACACTTGAAACCAGTATCCTTTTCTGGAAAGTGTTCAGCACTTTCAAGTCCTCACTGACTTAATAAACCCCAGAAGGCATCGGTCCTAAGATGCCTCTGACTGTCAAAGCTGAATCAATGCCAAACTCTTAAAACACAGCTTGGAATGTATTCAATATCACTGAATTGTACACTTGAAAATAGTTAAAATGGCAAATTTTGTTATGTATCTTTCAAATATAAAAATTAATATTTTTAAAATAGTTTTAAAAATTAATAAGCTAATATACCAAAGCCCACTGAATTGTACACTTTTTTTAAATGGAGGGGATTGAACCTGAGACCTCACACATGCTAAGCATGCATTCTACCACTGAGCTGTACCCTCCCCACCTGAATTATACACTTTGAACATGTGAACTATATGTTGTGTGAATTGTATCTCAATAAAGCTGTCTGGAAAAAAAAAAGACGGGGAGCAGGCCTGTGTTGCTCACCAGTGGGTGCCGGGCACACTGAAGGTGCTCAATAAGTGTGTGGGGTCTGCCTGTGAACAGCATCCCCGTCTGCTCGCTCGGCAGGGACTCAGCCTCTTGCCCGGGTCCTGGCTGTGAGGGCAGCTTGCTCCCTGCTGCTGCAAATTTAATCTGGATGGACAGAATTAAGCTGCTTGGCAAAGCTGGCTCACAGCTCCATCTCCTCAACCCCCAGACTGGAATTCTCAGAGTAGGATTCTCGGTTCCATCTGTGGTCCAGCAATAAGACACGGTAAGTCAGTTTCCAATGTTGTGTCCATTTCTGGTGTACAGCATAATGTTTCAGTCATACACACACGTACATATATTCCTTTTCATATGCGTTTGCATTATAGGTTACCACAGGATACTGTGCTATACAGGAGAAACATTGTTTATCTATTTTATATATAGCAGTTAGTACTAGACTTCAATAAAACAGAATGCCAAAAAAAATAGATAAACGACAAGGACCTACAGTACAGCACAGGGAACTATATTCAATTTCTTGTAATGAGCTATAATGGAAAAGAATCTGAAAAAATATATAGATATATGAGTATGCATATGTATAACGGCCGTATACCTGAAACTAACATTGTAAAGTGACTACACTTCAATAAAAAATAAGAATTTAAAAAAAAGAAAAGAAACTGGCTGGGACCCTGACAGACCTGGGTCCTCCCAGCTCTGGAGCTCTGGGCAAAAGCGGTGAGCCAAGTCCGCTTCTCTGGAACCGAGCCAGGGAGACATGGACTGGAATGAGAGTTCACCTGGAAAGCTCTCTCCCCACTGCCACGGGCACCAGCCCAAAGCCCAGGGTACAGGGCTTCCACTCAGAGAGGCTGATTCTGTGAGGCAGAAGAACAAGAAAATACTGGAGGTAATCGCACCAGCCCCAGCCGACGGGTCTTCCTTCTTCCTTCTTCCACCCCAGTCTCCGTGGGAGCTTCGTAGTTCATCCCCAAAGACAGCCGCCACCAACTCCTCTTTCCCTACATGTCTGTCATTCCTCCCGGGAGAAGGGGAGTCTACACTTCCATCCCTTGAATTTGGGACTGAACTGCGCTTGCTGAGAGCAATGAAATACGGTGGATGTGATGCTGTGTGTTTCCAGCCTGGCTTTCTATTTTTTTTAATTGAAGTCTAGTTGATTTACAATGTTGTGTTAGTTTCTGGTGTACAGCACTTTGATTCAGTTATTTACATATATATTCTTTTTCATATTCTTTATCATTATAGGTTATTACAAGATACTGAATACAGCACAGCACAGGGAACTGTATCTAGACTAGCTTTTAAGAGCGCTGGCAGTTTCTGCTTCCTGTCTCTCAGAGCCCTGAGCAGTGAGGTGAGAAGTCCAGGCTGCTCTGCTGTTGAGAAAGGCCCGGGGAAGAGCAGGGGGAGACAGGCACGTGAGTGAGGAAGCCATCGTGGACACGCAGCCCCAGACACCCCCTAACTGCAAGCACGTGAGAGACCCCAAGGGAAAACTGCCCAGCTGAGCACAACCACAGACTTGTCTGAGATAAGAACACACCCCAGCTTTAATCTACTGGTGGAGTGGTTCCCTAAACAGCAATTGATAACTGAAACATTCCTGTGGTCAGTTCTCAACACAGGAACCAGGGTGGTAGTTTAAACCCATAAATCAAGTCACATCATGTTCCCATTCAACCCCCTCCAATGCACAATTATTTTCCACCTTCTCTATAAATGTCTGTGCACATGTGTGTGTGGTGTGTGGTGTGTGTGTGTGTAGCTTTACTGACACATAACTCATACACTATCAAATATACAATTCATGCTTTTAAAGTATAAAGTCAACAGTTTTAACATATTCAGAGATGCGTAACCATCATCAAAATCAATTTTAGAACATTTTCATCACCCCAAAAAGAAACCCCACACCCGTTAGTCACTCCCTAAACCTCCCAGCCCCTGGCACTTACTAATTGACTTTCCATCTCTATAGATAGATTCGTCTATTCTGGATGTTTCATATAAACAGAACCATACAACAGGTGGCCTTTTGTGACTGGTTTCTTCCCCTGAGCGTCACGTTTCTAAGGTTCATCCATGTTATAGAATGTAATCAGGACTTCATTGCTTTTTACAGATGAATAATACTCCACTGTATGGATAAATTACATTTTGTTTATCCACTCATTAGCCGGTAGACAGAGTTACCTCTACCTCGTCGGCTATTATAAACAATGTTGTTATGAACACTCAGGTGCATGTTTTTGTGTAGATACATGTTTCCATTTCTCCTGGGTGTACACATGGAGTGGAATGGCTGTGTCCCGTGGTATCTCTGTTGAACCTCTGGAGGAGCTGCCAAACTGGTTTCCACCGCGGCTGTACCATTTTACACTCCCACGAGCAGTGTATGAGGGTTCTCACTTTTCCACATCCCTGACAACACTTCTTAATGTCTGTATTTTTACCAGAGCTACATCTTAATAGGTGTAAAGTAGTATCTCACTGCGATTGTGATTTGTATTTCCCTGATGGCCAACGACGTCAAGCATCTTTCCACCTGCTCAGTGACTATTTGTCTAGTCTTGGAGAAATGTCTACTCAGATCCTTTGCACGTTTTATACTTTAGTTATTTGTATTTTTATTATGGAGTCATAAGGGTTCTTTGTATTTTCTAACCAAAAGTTTCTCAGCAGCTGTATGATTTGCAAATATGTTCTCCCCTGCCAATGGACTCTTCCCACATGCAGAATAAAACCCAAATTCCTTCCTAGGGCTGAGAGGCTCACCTGACTTCCAACCTCATCACCCCTCCCTCTCCGCTCCTCCCTCCCTGCCCCCCACAACGCTCTTCACACTGCTCCTTGAACTTGTCAAGTTCAGCCCGGCCTCAGGGCTCCTGGAAGTGCCTGCTTCCTTTGCCCAGACCTTCTTCCCTGAAACCTTCGAGTGGCTCCCTCCTTCACTTTAGGACTCTGCGCAGATGTCACCTTCTCAGAGAAGTCCAACCATCTGATCTAAAATACCACTTTTCTCCCTGCCACTCTCTATGCCTCATCTTGCTACATTTTTTTTCTTTCTAGCACTTTTTATAGCCTGGCATTATATACAACTATTTGTTTATACTGTCTCCCTATTAGAATCTCAGTCCCATGAAGAAAGTTCTCTGTCTCATGTCATTATACCTTAAACACCCCAACAGTGCCAAGCACATTGTAGAAATTCAATAAATATTTATTGAATTAAATGCATCTACCATTTACTGAATGATTATTATGAGCCAAGCATTCAGCAAAGCAGTTTGAATACAACATTGCATTTCATTCCCGTAACAAATCTATGCTACGAGGTAGGTACTATTATTACTCCTTTTCTAGCGGATGAGGAAACTCAAATAAAGAGAACTTATCCGTGGTGGTCCCGCAAATTGTAAGTGGCAGAGCCAGGATTAAACTCCGCTTCCATCCCCCCATTCACTTCAGCAAGTCACTTCCCCTCCTTTGAACCTCGGTTTCCTCATCTATGACATGGGAGTGGTCTCCTGCCTTACAGAGTTATAGAAAGACTGGCCAAATGAGATCAGGTAAAGATCGAGAAGAGTGCCTGGCACATCGTGAACGTTCAGTAAGTGTGAGCTACCCCGAGGATGACGGTGATGAAGATAACCGATTACCATGATGAGACGCCGCAAAATCATTGCTTTGAAATCAAAGCAATGTCATTGTTTGTTAATATTGTTCAAACGTATCCCTGTGGACAGACTGCTTTCTTTTAGACAATGATGGGGCTCTTGCAGAGGGAGGACCAGCCCACTGCGGCCACATGAGGGTTTCAGAGTTAGTCCATCGGGTCGGGGAGGCTTCCTGGCCCTGCACCACGGGAACAGGACAGTTAGGTAACATTACAGACTTCCTAAGGCCTCCCCAAGAGTGTCCTAGAGCTCTCGTGACGATGAGTTCTCAGTGGCCAGTTAGAGACGGGGATCTTGGCCTCATTCAGGGCGGCTGTTCTTCTGGGGCAAAGTCACACTTGTGAATTCCTGCCTGGCCAGCCCTGCAAGCAAGGGGAGCCAGCCATCCCCATTCACAGCTCCCCCAGGAAATGACCGAATATCCTGTTTACTGAATGAGGGTACCAGCGAGATACTTCACGTCCACGTGCTGTCACACTGAGGATGGGGGTCAGTCACTCACCAGTGTGGGTCTGCCTGTGTGTCTCCAGGGCATCCTCCTTCGAAAACTGGGCACCACACTGATCACAGACGAAGGCTTTGGCACCCGCTGAAAGAAAGGGGAGGCAGTTACCTTATTACCAAGAGTGACATTCCATCAGGAAAGGGGTCCTGGGCCAAAATCATGCAGACGGACTCTGGGGGAGGGGGCTGAACACCTGTGACGATTCCAAGTTGGGGATAAATCACGGCCCCAGCAGCCAGCCCAGACCCTCCTCTGAGATGCCACCACCCACCCAACTGGGCCCCAAATGCCCCCACTGAGGGCTCTCTCAGACAGAAGAGGTAACAAAACCAGAATAACCCAGACAAACAGACATAGGGTGCAGAGGAGATGCCAAAGAAAAAGGGGACTTCTGGGGGGCTGGCTCCAGGTGACAGAAAAGTAATAAATGACACAAACGTGCCCAGGTACCCCGCTTACACTTTATGAGGACACAGGAATCACTGACATACCTCTCCTTGGATAAACCCCTAATGTCGAGTGCCAAAAACTCAGCTCATGGTCCACCCCAGCCACCTCCTGTTCCTGGCCATTTAAAGTCTCTGAATGACTCCCCAGCGCTTTCACGATAAAGGTCAAACTCCACGCAGTGATCCATAATCTGGCCCTGTTAGCTGTCCAGTTCCATTGGGAACTGTCCTCACCGGCCCTCTCTGGGTACCTCTCGACCCTCCCTGGGTCTCGCGGCCTGAGCATCATCCGGACTCATTCCCATCCGTTCTAGTCTTAGTCTGTTTCTAAGACCAGAGTACGCATGCGCCAAGCACGCCGCCGCTCGCTGCTCCGCCCTTTCCAATCCGCCGCTGCACTCTGTTCCTTTCATCACGTCTGAGCGTTACTGTAAGTGCGCCTGTGCTTCAACTTTGCATTAGAGCGTCATAAGAGGCAGAACTACTTCTCACATATATTTGTAGTGGAAAGAAAGCAGTCTGGTCCGGTTTTCACACTATCTCATACTTTCTGAGGCTGTAGCGTATTCCAGGCATGAGGCTAAGTATGTAAGGTGTATCATTTCATTTAATCCTAACAACCTTTTAAAGTACATAGTATGATTACCCCCATTTAGCAGATGAGACAACTCAAGCTCAGAGAGGTTAAGTAGCTTGCCCAATGTCACACAGCAGGTAACCGTAGAGGTGGATTCAAATCCAAGCAGCTTGACTTCAGAGCCTTTCCTCTTGATCCCCATACCCTTCCGCCTCCCTAGGGTTCCATCCACAAAGTTCCATCTGGACTGCCCCCCAACCCCAAAAAAATTTATCCCCCTTTTTTTTCCTTTTTTTAAATTGAAGTATAGTTGATTACTATGATGTGCTAGTTTCAGGCGTAGAGCAAAGTGATTCAGTTATATATATATATTCTTTTTCAGATTCTTTTCCATTACAGGTTATTACAAGATACTGAATATAGTTCCCAGTGCTATATAGTAAGTCCTTGCTATTTATCAGTTTTATATATAACAGAGTGTGTCTGTTCATCCTAAACTCCAAATTTACCCCTCCCTCCACCTTTCCCCTTTGGTAACCATCAGCTTGTTTTCTGTCTGTGAGTCTGTTTCTGTTCTGTAAAAAAGATCATTTGTGTCATTTTTTTAGATTCCATGTATAAGTGATATCATACGGTATTTGTCTTTCTCTGTCTGACTTACTTCACTCAGTATGATCATCTCTAGGTCCATTCATGCTGCTGCAAATGGCTCTAATTTGTCCCTTCTATACCTCCAGGTTTTGTGTAAAATTATACTTGAAAAAAATGGTCCCACTACTTTTTAAATAGTTTTTAAATCTTTGCCTTGGAGTATTCGTGCATGCTTAAGGAGGACATCTCAGAACACAAATTGCATCAGTACAGACTTAAATTAAACACCAATAAACATTTAGGGCATTGACCTTGTCTCTGTTCCTAACGATGAGCAGGGAATAGCCTCTATTAGGTGCTCAATAAATACTAGTTGGCTGATTGACTAAATGAGTGATAATGTGCCCCAGGAAAGATATGAAATCGCCTCTCCTTAAGAGCTTTAAAAATAAACACTGTCATTTGTTTTAGGTGGCTGGCGCTGAACTCCGCCTCAAGGCAGGGAGAATACCATGATCGAGGGGGTGTTCTGACCAGCTGCAGGGTGTCCTAAGGCCAGGGACCTGTACGTGGCTTCTAGAGCTTTAAAGAAAGAGTCAAGGAACTTGATGGCAATGTAGTCAACTGTGCATTCACACGGGAGGCAGCCAGCCGTCTGCATCCATTTATACTGGAAATGCAGCAAGTACCTCGAAGTGCAGAGCCCCCTCGCCCCCTAAACAGTGAGAAACTTCCCCTAACCCCAAATCATGAGCCAACAACAAGGGCCCACGGATCTATAGGGGATCTGACTTTAACTGCATCCCGTTCTCTGGTCCTACCAGTTTCTCCCTGAAGAAGAAAGGGGAGCCTAACGTGGGAGCAGGGGTTGGAAAGGGGAGGGCACCCCTGGGCTCCTCATCCCCATCACCTTGGCTCTGAGGCCCCGGTGAGCAGCCCACTCTTCCTGCTGCAGCTTCAAAGGACTGTGGTGAGCGGGGTTCTTAGAAAACAGCCATCCCTGTGGCTGCAGGGGCAGCTGCTTTAATGGCTGAGAAGCCGGGAGAAAGGAAGGAGGGCAGGTAGGAAGTGAAGGGCCGGATGTGTGGCATCATAGCAGCTCAGAGGAAGATGAAAACAGATTCGCGCACGTGATCACGGCAAGGTTGCAGGCTTGGCTCAGGCCTGACCACATCTGGCTGCCCGCAGAGCCCTCCCCGCTCCACCCCTGCCTCGCTGAAGTCACGAAATTGAGCTAAGTGTGTGAAAGATCCCCGTCCTCAGTGACTGGGGTGACATCCCCGACACACACTTACCATGGATGTGGGCTCCCGTGTTGGCCCCAATTCATGACGCCCCAGCATTCGCCGCCCAGACTCCCCACAAACTCCCAGGGTGAGCCCAACAGCAAAGACAGGCAGTCCCAGGACGCAGGAGTCGTGGAGCACAGAGAGGCAGAGACCGCCCTCTCCCAAGGAGACATGTGCCTTTAAATTGTCTCTGTAACGGCTGGCTCAGAGGCAGAAATATTTGGCAGCCCTGAAATTAAAAGTGATAAATTTCCTCGCCAAGCTTTGATCGATAATAGAGGCCTCATCTGTTAATCAATAAGACAGCCTCTGCCTGTTTACTGTGCATATGTTGTTTGCTGCTGCCTCCAGTATGATGTCAAGTTTGCATTCAGAGCAACTCAAGTGTGCATAAACCACATGGCTATTCCCAAAACGCATCACGGTGACATCATTCAGCCACTAATACATTTACAAAGCATCGGGGCGAGGGGGTGATGGGGGAAAGGAGGAGGTCATGCCAGTTGAACGCAACGGGCACATATGGACGCGTTGGCAGATTTACCCCCCACGATATTTCCCGGGGCTCATCTCGGAGAGGGGAGAAGTCCAGGACACAGCTCGGGGACAGCTGTTCCTCCTTCCTATACGCAGAGGATGTTTCCTGGATGTCCATTTTTAAGAGTCAAGTAAATATAAAATAGGTGGTGGTAAGCGATTAAGAGAACTAAATAAGTGAAAAGGGGCGGAGAGGGCAGGGGCTGCTGTTTGACACGGGATGAGCTGACATCTGAGAAGAAAATGAAGCAGGCGAGGAGAGAAGAGGCAACATCACTGTCTAAGAAAGCCCGTTCCAGGCCAAGGAAGAGCGAGGAGGCCAGGCGGTTAGCATGGCCTCAGGGAGGGGAGAGGGAGAGGGAGAGACGGGGCATGGATTTTGCAGGGAGAGAAATTAAACAATCAAGAGGCAGCACCACATGATGAAAAAGTGGGCTAGACCCTCGCTTTCCTCCCCAGCAATTACAGATCTGAGTGAACCAGAGGACATGACAGCAAGATCCAGAGTGGGGAGAGCTGGCTCCCAGGCTTCGCTCAGCCGCTCACTGCTGTGGACGTCACCCATGTCACCTCGATGCACCTGTCTCCCCATCTGTAAAATGGGTATGATCATAACCATCTGCCTCCCTTGAGGCCGTGAGGATCGAAGGAAGTAATGCATATTAAAAAATACAAAACGCTTTGTGATTCACTAGGTGCTCTGTAGATGTGAGATTATCAGTGTTCTCTACACCTGGCGGGGTGGGCAGCAGAATGTGGTTAAGAGCACAGGACTTGGGTCAGAAAGATCAGAGTTCAAATCCCAGCCAAGCTAATCACCAGCTGTGACCCTCAGCAAGTTGCCTAATCTCAGCGAGCCCATCGCTCCATCTGTCAAATGGGAACACCCAGAGGAAGTCCCTCGAGAGTTGTGACAAGGTCGGGACAGTGGTTGGCCCCATGTCTGGAGGCAGATCCACAGAACCATCATCGCAGTCAGGCTCAGAGCCGGGACTCCTTTGTGCAAAATATGATTGATTTTACCAAAATTCAATGTGTAGCTATTTTGGGGCCATTTATCTTGTGTAAAGTGAGTCATTTGTAGAGGCACATTTCACTATAATTACACACACACACCCCGTCCTGCTAATTTATTTATTATTATTATTTTTTTAAATTTGTTGGATTTCCCTCATTGTTGAATTTTTAAGGTTGTTTTATTCTTTTTTTTTAAAAAAAACCTTTGTTGTTTTTTTCAGGGGGAGGTAATTAATATTGTTTGTTTATTTATTTTTTAATGAAGGTACTGGCGATTGAACCCAGGACCTTGTGCATGCCAGGCACACACTCTACCACTGAGCTGTATCCTCCCCATCTTGTTCTGCTAATTTAAAGGCAAGTGATGGTCTTCTTGAGGGAGCAGGAAAATCCATCATAGGACCAACATGTCAGTAATGGCTCTTCATACCCTGCCGCCGCCCCCGAGTCTTACATCCTCCCCTGACGAGCCCCAGGAGCCCCGTTCACAGGTCCTGTGTGGACTGCCAGGCTCTTTCCTCTTTCTGGTCTCCCCGGCAGACTGGAAGCTCCGTGAGAACAGGGCTGGCCTCTGCCTTGTCATCTGCTCCATCCCCAGTTCTCTGCTTGGTGCTTGACACGGAGTCTGCGCTCACAATTGCCTGATAAACAAAGAAACCCCCCAGGCCGGTTCTGGGCCTGGGAAGGGGGCAGTGGCCACTCAGGGCAGTGCCAGGCTGTCCCCTAGGGGGTGGCAGAGTCCTTACTCTACACACTCTGGGCTCTCCACTGGCCCTTTTTCAAAACTCAAGGACATGGTCTCCGGCTGGAACTCGGGCAGCATGGGGGTGAAGGAAGGACAGGTTGGGAAGCACAGCTGTCTGCCTCCTCTGGAGCAGGGGGTCCTGTTCATCAGCCCTGCGCTCCCCGCCCGGCTGCCCGGGACCCACATCCCAGCAGCGAACACGCAACCTCCCCCCACCAACACACTCAGGAGCCTCCTGTCAGCCAGAGCGGCCCCTCCCCTGGCTGGCAGGATCTGCTGTGTGACCCCACTCCAGCCCAGGCACCGAGTGTATCTGAGGGTCAGTGTTAAAGGGACGGACAGACAGACATTCCCGCCCCTGTCAGTCTCCCAGGGATCCTGCAGAAGAGGCTCAAGGAGGCTTTAAGCGCTGCTATGGGGGTGGGGGGGGGCGGAGGGGACCAGCAGCTGCCTGACCACTCTGAATTTTCCAGACCCCTACTTCTCCCCTTTCTCCCGGACTTCCTGATGCCGCCAGAAAGTTCAACAGGGGCCAGAGGAAAGAGGAGGGGTCACAGCAGGTTAAGGCTGGGCGAAAAGAAAGGAGACCCTTGCCACAGCCCACCTGGAGGCTGGAGCCCGCGTAAGGCCTCCGTGTGTGGGAGCCGCTTCTCTCTGGGCCAAGGATCACCCCGCCTCGCAGGAATCAAAGAGGAGACCTGCCAGAAAAGCACTTTCAAAACCATAAAGCTTTCTATCAATGCCCAGCATTCCAACAACAACAGAGCTGAAATCCAGCAGAAGCACGTCAGGCAGGTTCCCCGCGGCCGCCCTCCTTCCCCGCCACTGCCTCTGGCCTCTCCCCCTCAGCAAAGTAAACAGCCTTCCTGCCCAGAGACGATGGGGTGGGGGTGGGGGGTCCGAGCATCCAGGAAGGGGAGTAGAAGATACTGAACCCAATCAGATGTGGGCTGGCGTCTCTCTGCAGTAAATAAGACAGAAGCCAATGAGGGAAGGGAAAAAAATTACACATCCCTCCCTCTCCAAAACCTCGCCCAGCCCCCATGCTAATAAGAAGAGGGAAGAAAAAGGAACTGCGCTGCAAAAACACCTCCCGTCTGCGTCTGCCAGCATCTAATGTTGAGTGCTGTGTCCTTTTTCTTTTAATTCCTTGAGATTTTAAAATAAACATCTTGACTGTTCTGATGAGATAGGCATGCCTGCTTACATAAGGAAGTACAGAGTGTACCAAAACAGCAGACCCAAAAAAAGCATAAGCTGTCAGAACAATGAGTACAGACGCTGGGCATTTTACAACGGGCCATGGTGTACAGTTTTATTTACAGTACCTCTTATCTGACAGAGAACAGTACACTGGCTGCCAATTCCAAAGGCCAGGACTGCGTGTTCTTTCACTCAAGGAGATGTGTACTCCCTAAGAGGCGTGCTTTCTCAAATGCATGCTTGCTCTCCCTCTCTCCCTCTCCTCTCTCTCTCTCTCTCCCTCCTCTCATTCTTTTGCTTTATTAACAAAACAAAAACTGATACAGGACCAACTGATAAGGTACACAGATTCAGGGGAGATGGAAAAGGGAAAGCAGGTGGGCAGATGTGGGTTGAATGGAAAACAACCAGCCCTATCGATTGGCTCAGGATACGGTTCAAGGGTAGTTCTCCGCGACAACGAAGTGGGAGAAAGGTCCTCAGGGCCTGGCCTCACTACAGGATGGGGGTGGAGGGATGAACTCATGATGCAGGGCCTCAGTCAAAGGTAGGGCTGAGAAAGCCCCCAGGACCACCTCCCTGCGGGCCACAGAGATCATGGAAGGACCAGGGATTTCGGGCGGCAGGTTTTCTCATCTCTAGATGTCAGTTTTCCATCAACGACCCGGTAAGTGCCAGACACCTCACATCTGGCTAAATGTCCACTCTGGGGAGGATGTGACCTTGGAACGGGTCAAAAAGAAGTGCCAAGGCATGTCTAGTCTGAGAGAACATTTCTTATCCTACCTAATAAATGGCATACTACCAAGAGGTGCTGGAGTGCCCTGGGGCTCCTGGCTTTCACTGGATCCTATGGCCCTGCTCGTATGTCCCACAGAGAAAACAGAGGTCCACCTTGTCCCTTATCCCTGCAACTCAGTTCTCAGCCCAGAGAGGCTTAAAGAGCTCTTTTGTTACCACTTTTAGCACCAAAGCAGGTAACCCAATAGGCTTGGAAACACTGTCCACAGCCAGTAGAAAACACACATGCTCAACACACAGCTAGCTGCGCAGGAGAGAAGTTAAGAAAACTCGCTCTGGAATCACACATACACGGTTCTGCCATTTCCAGCTACCGCTCTGGGGAGGCTCATTATCTTCTCTGCGCATATTTCCTCACCTCTGAAACTGGGCACAGACCATCTACACGGGCTTGAGTGATGCTTCATTTACATAGTACATGTCAAATCTTTGCCACCACGCCTGGCATCCACGGACTGCTCAATAAAAGCTAGTTGTCACTAACATCGTCAATTATCGCCATGACTTCCTCCCTCAGTGTCAGTGGCTGACACAGGGATGTCAAAGGCACACAATGAACATAACAGGATATTTTAAATCTTCTTACTACCCCAGCCCAAATGCAAAGAGAAAGAAGGGAGGAGAGATGCCCACTCTGGACAAGTCTTCAAGGGAGGAGAAGATAAAGAAAGGCTAAGGACACTGACGGCTGTGCACCCCCAAGAAACCCCCATGCAAACCAACAGTGTACAAGGAAAAGACGTGTCCAGATCGCCCTGTGCTGGGAGAAGATCCAAAAAACAGTCCACCTCCCGTCGGCTCCCGACACTCATGGCCAAGTTTTGAGGGTGTTATCATCCTCCTACAGAGAGGAGTGCAAACCTCTTAAGGTGGACGACTTTACGTATTTAATTTTTTATTTTCTTAAGGTGAATGATTTTAAATAAACACAGGTAGGATGGTAAATCTGTTGCAGTAAAAACAACAGCAGCAGCAGACAAGTCTTCCTGGAATCTAAGAGCACTGATCTGGGGGTTCATCTCACCACTGCCTTTAACCCATTTCTCCCCCCGGCACCTCCCATGACTGGCTAATCAAGGTACAGCGGTTATCAAGGCAACGACACAAAGCCCTCTCTTCCCCTGGGAAGGTCAGCCCCTGTTGTGATGGAGCAGACTTCCTTCCAGCACATCTCGCCAACTCGGAGACCTCCCAGAGGTACAGACCTACGGCGGTTTGCAGCCACACGTGGCTTTGGGGTTCTGCCCTTTGTTGGTGGTACGGGCCTGGCGCCCACTGGGTAGCCTTATTTCCCTCCTTAAAATGGGGTGATCAGTTCTCAGAAGGTAATTTGAACAAGAACCTCGAAGAAGGCCCTGGCACACAGTAAGTGCCTGGATAGTTTTGATGACTATGGAATATCGCACTTCGTCGAGTTGATGAGCTCCAGGAGAACCAGCCTTTGGCCTGAGCTTCAGGAACTCCAGCCCATAACACTCCAGCCCCACAGTTGCTGGGGGTCAGGCCCACCTGCAATGAATAAATGGCCCAGAGAGGGGAGACACTGAAGTCTCTGAGGCTCTTGTACACATGGTCTTCAGCTACAGGGGATGAGAGAAGGGGCACCATCAGATGAGGCAGGACTCCGACTCCAGTTGGGTTCTGTTGGCCAGGGGCACCCGAGCTTTCCCGCAGCAGCACAAAGAGAAATGGACTCATAGTCCCAAGTGTCCCTGCCAGAGCTGTGTGGCCGAGGGTGCATCACTGCCTCTCTCCATCTATAAAGGACAAGTTTTAAGGTGAGAACTCTGTTAGGGAAAAAACAAAAAGATGAATGGGTGGTGTTGGAGATGAATCTGGAAGCACACAGCAACGGCAGTTAAACATGGCTGTGAAAGATGCTCAAATGCTTATAACCCCTGGTGATGGGAGGGCGCTGGCTGGACCACACTGGGGCTGGGTTCCCTGATTCAGCCCGGGGATTCCTTCTCCAGGGGAAGACCTTGCTCTATCAGGCAGCAAAGTGGAACAGAGAGTCCAGACACCAAGAGAATCATTAGCCAGACAGAGCCAGCCTTTGCCAGTGAGGCCAAGGCAGAGGCTGACCCCTGAGTTCCAGGGAACACCCAAGCTTTCAGGTGTTTGTGCCTTTGTTTTGTTTAAAAGAGGTAGGACTGCAGTCTTGGCATCTGTAAGAGACTAGGTGAAAGGGCCAGAAAGATCCCGGTGGGGATTTCTGCTGTGATTTTATGGGATATCCCCTCAACTGTTGGTCACCAACAACTGTCTTCCTCCCTGGTCCCCGCTTGGGATTCTGAGGTGACAGATTCATCACGGGAAGAGGGCCTTCTCGCCGGCATCTAGCAGTCTCAGAGCACTTTTTGTTACTTGAGTCTTT